ATTTCTTTGTATGTATGGATCACTTGGGTTGTTACCGACATCTGGTGAAAATTTCATGTCATTAGCACCTCTAGTAATATATTTACTGAGAAAAATGATGACACGTTCAATACTTATTTTACCCACTGTATGTCAACAAGAAATACAATACAATGTATTTGTGTGTAAAAATGGAACATCTATTGTGCATTATATTTTAAAAAAACTACACTAATAAAGTTATTTTTTATCATTTATTAATGGTTGCTTTTAGAAAATTTCCTATTGTGTTGTTTCACTTCCCGTGAAGTCTTCCAGAAAACAAAACAGAAAAAGAACTATTAGGGTACATGATATCAAACTAGGTGTTTCAGTTTAAAAAAGCCTGCACACAAAGCTATTCCTTGTTTAGGTTTAGGCTATTATGAAGCGATTGAAATAGATGATTCATGTTGCAACATGAAGATCTTAGCTAGATTGTATAAACAGTGGGGAAAAAAGTAGTGTTGTGGTAGTTGTGGCGAGGGAATGGTGGTGCTGCCCTCCAGTGGAGACACCAGTCACCTGAACATGGCCAAACAAATTTAATTGAATGAAGTTCTTATCATTTATTGAAATAAGAAACATTTGAAAAGAAACAACCTTCACACAGTGGTTACAGGTTCTTAGATCTGTTGTAATGAAGCACACTTTTGCACCTCTCCATGAACTTTCGCTTTGTTTCGCAACACTTCCTGTCCAAGTTGCATTTTAAAACTTGAACTTGCATTTTTTTAAAAGGAGCACAAAGGCCTGGTGAGAAGCTGATGGGACAGGGTCAAGATGAACCTGTCAAAGAAATAAGAAGTGGAAACTTTTTTGTGTGTTGTTAAAATAAAACAAAGAATTAAATTCTGCTCCAAGAACAGCTACTACCATATTTTATATTGTAAAGCATTACTGAAGCAGCACATTAGTAACAAAACAGTTGAAAATCATTATTTACACCTTTTTTCTTTCAAGGGATTTAGATTAATCGAAAAGAAAAAAGGCCAAAAAYATGTTTGGGGAAGGATAAAGTTGTGAACATAATGGTAACTTATTAACATTCCAGCTGGCAAAGAAAGAGGAAGTTTTGTCTGCCTGAAGCCTTATTTACAATGCAAACAATAAAGTTAGTCAGAAGAGATTTGTRTTGTTTGGCAGTGTGGTTTGTTTACATAGATCTCAGCTACATTGAGTGAAGAACACAAAGCTGTGGTGCTGCCCTCCAGTGGAAATAACCTGTAAGTTAACAGTGGTTGCTGTGGAACTGCTTCACAAAGTTACAGCACAGCAATGCTGCATGTGTTTTCAAACACATCAGTACAACAAGCTGTTGATTTCATGCTGCATTGTGTGYCAGTTTGACTGAATATTATTTTCTGCTTCTCTTCACTTAGGAATCTCTCTACAATAGATTTGGCACCATGCAGACGAAATGGTACGATCCATGTTTAAATATTTTTTTTCAACTCCATATTTAGATTTCTCTTAAAAATGGGAATTTGGCAGATTTGGTAAATCATGTTTGCATTGCTCCTCTGAAYTGTCGCCTTCTAGTGGAGGAGGAGGAGTTTGTGTACCTGAATGGTGCTAGGATACCCCTGGTAGGGTCTCCCAAGGCTGATTGGTCCTAGATGACAGGCCAGACAATGAGCAAGGAGCTCATTGTCAGAGGTTACCTGGGCTCCTTCCTGGACACAGGCCTAGGTATGGTTTTGCTGGCAAGTGGCTGGCATCCATAGCACTTTGCACTTAACCCTTCTGACCTCTCCTGCAGGTGTGTGGCCCTARCTTACAGAAGYTGGCTAATCAAACATGAAATGTCACCTCTTTGGTGCATGAGGCTAAGATGTACCAACAGGCTCACCTCAATGCACAGTGTGGGATTTGGAACCAATCTCCTTGAGAAGGGCTGAACCTTATTTCACCAYGAGTGAAATCACACTCATGGTAAGAACAAGGGCTGATGTGGGTCTACTTACAGTATAGCACCATGCATTGGAGGTTTCTCTAGATGAGAGGGACTGGAGTGTGTTCCAATTACAGGGCTTGAGAAGAGGATCTGGTAGATGGAACCTTGGATTCAGGAGGAACAATGGGGGTTCTTTCATGGCTGTGGAACACTGGACCATTTCTTGGTCATTGCCAGGGTCCTCAAGGTAGCATTTGCTACGGCTGTGGTGGAGTGGTTAGGGGAGTCGTCCTGGAACCGGAAGGTCGCTGGTTCGATCCCCCGTCCAGCCATCTCAGTCGTTGTGTCTCGTTGTGTCCTTGGGTAGGACACTTCACCCACCTTGCCTACTGATGGTGGTCAGAGGGTCCAGTGGCGCCGGTGCATGGCAGCCTTGCTTCTGTCAGTGCGCCCCAGGGCAGCTGTGGCTACAGTGTAGTTTGCCATCATCAGTGTGTGAATGTGAGTGTGAATGGGTGAATGTCTGTTAGTGTAAAGTGCTTTGGCGTCCGGAGGGACTTGAAAAAGCGCTCTATAAGTTCAGTACCATTTACCATTCAGTACCAAACCAGTCAACACGTGTTTTATGGACTTGGAGAAGGTATTTCACCGTATTCCCTGGGGTACACTGTGCTGGGTACTTAGACCTGTACCAAAGGACCCCCAGTCTCATACACACAAGCAGTGCAACAGTCTGGTTGTATAGCAAGCAGTAAGTCAGACCCCTTCAGTGTGAGAGTTGGAGTCCATCATTRTTGCTCTAGTTTTGTATTTTATCACATTATATCATAACTTATTGTATTGTATAATTGATTTGTACTGTATTGTACCCTGATGTATTGTACCATTTTGAACTTTTCTTTGGACTATTCTTTGACATTTTAAAAATCACCCACCTGTCAATGAGTTACATGCTTACTAAACACAATTTCAGTTTGTCTAATATTACACAATGTGCCAAACAGTTTATGCTCATGGTTAGATACAGACAGCAGTAAAGACAGTCGAGCCATGTGAATTGCGACAGTATTATATCTCTTCTTATCAAACATTAAAAACCCATGTACAATCATTGGAAAAAATGATAAGCATTGTAAAATGATTGCCAATAAATAAMATTTATAAAATAATTTAAAGCAACAACAAAAATTCAAATTCTTGTACATTTTGTTAAAACACAATGAGAATAAAAAATAGATTTTTTTTTGCAAGCACGGGTTTTAAACTCAAGCAATAGATGAGCAGATTAAGATAAAAAAAAGATTAAGGTGACGCTTAGCTAATAAAATGATTYAAAGAGGAACTCAGACCATTATAATAAAACAAACAGGAAAAGAACAAAGTCTTATTGGTGCTGAGATGCTTTTCTATCTGAACCCTTTTTTACAGTTATCATCTAGCCCAAGAGTCCATGCTGATACCAGGAGTGACCCTTAAACCCACCCTTTGATTGCATAAGGCTGGGTCACTGCCAGGGGTGTGTGCACCTTTACCTGGCCTCAGCTTGCTCCGTCAGCTCCTCTGATGGTACAACCTGCCACTGCTGCCGGGACACAAACAAGCTGCGGCACGCGCCACGAGCWCAGAGAGACGGAGGGAGAACAGGCAGCCGAGCAGACAGACAGACACACGTAGGAAGGAGGGGAAACGTACACCACCATGGGCTGCTGTAACCGAGAGTGCGGACTCATAGCCGGAGCTGYGATAGGGGGTTTGGTAGCCATCCTGGGTGGCATCCTCATCCCTGTGGGCAACAGCATCATCCGGGGGACAGTGCACAAGGTATGGTGCTCAATTTCATCCTGGTTTGGAAGTGCAGGGAGTGACAGAGCATATGTGTGTGTGAAATWAGAGATCAAGGTGAATCAGGAGAAATACGATGTTTTAAAAAGCTGTTTCAAACTGTAAACATTTCTTGTGCAGAAAGCCAAACTGCAATTCTAGATGCCTGATCCATCTAAAGATCACCATCTGTTCTTTTTAGAAGACATTGTTTTCAGCATAGATTTCGATTTACTGTGAAGTCTTTTTTTTCCCCTAATAGGAGCATCCACCTTTTTCATGTGTCACGAGGGCTGCTGGCCTGCTGGCAGTCTTGAGGCATGTTAAAAATAGCTTGTCTGTGTGTCTGCTGGGTTTAGGAAGCCGTCATTGAACCCGGTACGACAGCTTATGAGACATGGTCAGCTTCGGGGACAAAAGTGTACAGGCAGTTCTGGTTCTTTGACTTGAAAAATCCACTGGAGGTTTTGCAATATGGGGCAAAACCAGCTGTAGTGGAAAAAGGTCCTTACACCTACTGGTGAGGTTCTTTTATTCATATTTTCTTATAAATGTCATGAAAAAAAATCCTAGTTCCTTTTCTGTCCTTGTTCAAACATCAATCTGTTTTTTAAAAAATTCAGGACAAGATATCTCCCCAAAGACAATGTCACGTTCAGCCCCAATCACACGGTGTCCTTCCTGCTACCTTTTGGTGCCATCTTCGACCCGTCCATGTCGGTGGGGACRGAGGACGACATGATCACCTCGCTCAACCTCGCAGTGGCTGTAAGTGTTGTWTTCCTGACTTAATTCGGCTCTACGGCTAATGCGTCTTTGATTAAAAATCTGTCACAAACGCTGCCAAAGCAAGCTGTGCTGGCTGGCAGCCTGGTTGTTTTTGGTCCACAAACACTTATTTTAGTGGTGATTTCTGACATTCAYGCTTTGTGATGGCTTGTTTGTGAAACATATATTTACCAAAAGAAATGAGTCTTTCTATATTAGCTGGGAAAACCAAATGGACAAAAAATGTATCTTTTTTTTCCTTGTTTTTAGTCATTTTGGAGCATCAGTGAAGGTCTCAGCCTTCATGTTGGGAACAAGTCCAAATAGCATGCAAATTTAATTAGGAGGAGGATTTAAGTTATTTTAAACTAGAGATAAAGTTAAAATTATTTGTTACCGTCCATGTATGCTTGAGTTTCTGAAAAACAAACCATTTAAAAAAATTGCTGGCCTGGATTTAGTTTCTAATTAGCAACATTAGCAAATATCGCTAATTTAGAGTGTTTCTCATGTTTTGGGGTGGCTAAGTTGATTAGCTGTGGTTGCCGTCTTGAATGGCTTTGTCTTCAAAAGTAAACCAGTTGTAAATATCCATTTCGCAATTACTTATTTGAAGTTTCAGTAAAATATATCTAGTGGTTAATACATTTTTTTTTGCTAACAAAGGTTGACTTTTACAGCTAACGCAAAACATTTAAGCTAAATTTTTTTTAGCAAAAAGTGGCGCTCAGAGTATGTGTTGAGAATGACTCTTAGCTAATACTAAACCAAATCTTAGCTCAATATCTTGAAAACTGGAGGAGTTAGTGCTGCTTTTAGCTTTGATAAGGTTGCTGTGGTAGCCATCTTGGATTAAGTTGACACTAAACATATTTAAGTTGTTTCTGAGGTTGCTAAGCTCAGACAAGTGAGCAAACATACAGGCAAAAACATTATCCCCTTCGGTGGTGGGGGATAATGAWACTAAGCTTTACTTTAGGACTATTTTATATTGTGCGCTGCATACATTCTGTTTGCAGGAATCAAGTTACTGTAGGTGCCAAAAAAAGAGAAAAAAATTGTGTACATTATGTAGTAAAGATTCTACTTGGTTATGGATGTCARCAAACATTTTCCCTCACACATTATGGTTTGATTCACCAAGTTTATGTTTTATTTAATGGTGCATGACGTCCATTCTGTGAACTGTGGTTCCATTTAGAAKAAAACAGGTGATTAAAGCATATACATCCATGAGAAGTGGGTCCGTGTTTTGATTGATAAGCCGAATGGGAGTGCAGAGTTTCCACATTATTCAGTTTAATGCTATTGAGCTTTTAAAATAGTAAGAACACCATTGCATACATTTAAGACTAACTTGCATTTTGTGCCAGTCACAAGTCAGTTCAAAGATTTATTTCCCATATGTAAATCTACACCATAATATCTGTGAAAGCATGTGTTTTAACCCCTCCAGTTTTCCCTTGAAGGCTATTTATCAGAGTGCAACATTCTAATGTTCACTAATTTATTTCTGTTTCTTAAGATACACACATTACCCACTGMCTTTCATGTCTGAGTTTTATTCTAACATCAAGTTATGAGTTTATTGTCTCATGCAATATCACGATATCTTGATGGATCTGTTAGTGTTTGGAGTAYGTTTTGAGAGTGACTTTTAGCAACTACTGCACCTAATTTCTGCTTAATATTTAAATTTAACAGGAGGTATAACCCTTTTTATGTTGACTAGTTGCTTAGCTGTGGCGGCCATCTTGAATTAGATTAACACCAAAAGTGAGTCAGCTGTGAAAGGTACAGCTAATAATTATTTTCCAAGGGTTCCATTAAAATCTGTTCAGTTCGTGGCACATTTCAGTTTAATTGACGTATTATTGGTTAGATTAGTARTTTTTGTCTTTGATAAAGTTGCTTCGTTGCGGCGGCTATCTTGAATCGAGTTGACTCCAAAGGTCAGTCAGTTGTAGATGTTGACACAGCTCCTTCTTTCCTAAAGGTTCACCGACAAATAAAATTATAATTCAGCTGTAAATAAAATAATTCAGACAAAATTTCTTGACTTTGATTCTTCTTTAATTCATACCGTTGCAGCTTAAAGAAACGCGAAGCTTCACGGCAGATGCTTATATATTCAATCTCTCAAATTTTTAAGCCCAAGGCTACCTCAGACTGCAGAATTTGCAAACCGTGAATCTCTGATCAGACGAATAAAGAGCACAAATCAAAGCTTGGATTACGAACATACAAAAATAGCACTGAGGTTTAATATTCAGCTCTGTGGTGACATTTGTGCACACTTCCTGCTTTAGAGGAGGAAAATGAGGAATGACTCAGAGGTCTTAATTCAACAAGGCAGTTTATTTTTGCCCTCATAAACAAGAGCGGAGGTGCGCTCTCCCTTTAAACTTTGACAACATTCAAACAAATAGAGCAAACACGGCAAGCGAGAGACTCCACGTCTAAGTGCCGAGTTTTGCAGTCATAAAAGAYGATTATTTTCAGCTTTATCTCCTCAGGCAGTAGCTCTATCTGTGTGTGCAGCAGTTTGGCATGTGTCGTCATGGAGCTGCATTGTATAACCAAGATATTTATCTGGAAACAACCCYACACCTATCAGGGTAAATGTATTGTATTCTGATTTTTGCAGGGAATGTACGCACTGGTTCCAACAGCACTGCATGGGGTTTTGGAGAAAATGATCACAGACACCAACTCCTCCTTGTTCCAGTACCGCTCGGTGAAGGAAATGCTTTGGGGCTACAAGGACCCCTTACTGAAAGGCACCTTGGGACTATTTCCAGATGTAAGGCCGCACAAAAACATGCAAGTAGTCATACGTTTAAAATGCAAATACAAACCCTGATTCTGGAAAAGTTGGGGGCAACGTGTGAGACGTAAATAAAACCAGAAYGCAATCATTTGCATATTTCATAAACACATATTTTATTAACAATGGAACACATCAAAATTTAAGGCTAAGAAAACAAATAAGTACCAATAAGAYGGCATCAACACATTAATGCAGCAAATAAATTGTTTCACTAAAACACACCAGTAAATGATGCAAGCATAAAATTTGGTACACAATGTAAGCACTGGCTAATTTTTAAAAAGGACTGGGTGTCCAGTCAAAATTTCAAAACGACCATCATTTTTCAAGATGGCTGCCAGTCATGGTTTTACATAATGACTGGTGTGCCTCTAGTAATGCCATGAAGCATTGTTTTGGCTTACTTTATTTAGAATCAATAAGCAAAATAAAGCTATATTTCTGTAAAACATTTCAAACAGCCTATATAAAAACAAAGATAGCAGCCAAAATGGCTGTAAATGCTAGGTGTAATTATCCTCTTAAATAAGCTCCTTTTTTTTGTTAACCAGCAAATTACAAAGTGTCAACATCGTGACCATAACTCATTGATCGTCTTAATTCCTTTTTTTTTACTGTCAGATCACAATTCACTATAAAATGTGGACATAACTGAAAATTTCCCATCTTTAGCTTTAGTCACTGAGTTATCAAACAAAACTGTTTTRTGGGAGTCATTTTGTTCGTCATGTTTTTTGAACTGATAAATAKAGCAGTATGAACACTGGTGATATATTTAATTAACTCTACTGCCCAGGAGGACATCATTTTAAAAAGAAATAAAGCATTTTTTTCTTTGTTTAAAAACTCAACGTGTCAGAAATGGGTACAACCCAGACATTTTATGAGAAAGTTACAGTGAGCGACTGTGCAAAATTTTTATGCGTGTATCAAAAACTGAAATATTTTTGTTATAATGGATGCAATAGGGTTCAGCATCATCTATGTCTGGATGAGAGCATATGCGCTAAAACCTGTATATCTTGTTCTGCATAAACTGAGCTTTTCCAGATGTGTAAGAAGTACATGTCAGACACYGATGCACCCCCATACCATCAGAGGCAGGCTCTTCAACCGTGCGCCGAGAAGAATCCCAAATTTTGACTTGTCTGACCATAGAACAGTTTTTCATCTCGCTTTGATCCATTTTAAATTAATTTTGGTGGCTGTGTTTCTGGATTCACAAATGGCTTCCTCTGTGCATGATAGAGCTTTAAGCAGTGTTTGCGGCTGGCACAGCAAACCGTGTTTGAAAGCCTTCAGTTGTGGAAATGTTCCTTAGCACATACAGTGATGTCAGAACAGAATCAGACCTATATTGACATTTGGCAGCACTTCTATTTTGAAACTGAAAACGAGCCTCTCTTGCAAAAAACAGGCCTAACTCTAGGTTTAAACATTGGTATMATTACTATTTTCCATTATGAGTAAAATATGGGTTTTTAAAAATGGCAAATCTTTGTACTTTTTTATTTACATTTTATGACCCCCCCCCAAATCATCAAATCAGGGTTGTACAAGTATTTAATAAATGTTTCTAATGAAATCCATCTTTCCCAGTACAACAGTACATTTGATGGCTTATACAGCATCCACACTGGCAAAGATGACATCTCCAAAGTGGGAATGATTGACACGTGGAGAGGAAGCAAGTGAGTCTAYCTCGGAGCAGTAAAGCAGAATTTTGAGTCTAAGGTTGAAAAACTTTATCAATATAAATTCTTTTAAAGCACATTGGTCAAATTAGACATATTTAGTTTGCACAAACTTCGTAGGGTTGGTGTAATTTTTATTTGTGGCTTTTAAMTCCAACTTCAAGTTCGAAACGTTCTGCTTTGTGCTACAGGAGCTTAGGGTTTTGGAACGACCCCTATTGTGACATGATTAATGGGACAGGTAGGCTTTATTCAAGTAAAACAATAAGTTTGATATTTTCTCACAAAATAAATGACCAGATTGTTGCCCTCTTTGTTAGATGCTTCCTCCTTTGCTCCCTTTGTGAACAAGAAGAAGCCTCTTTATTTCTTCTCGTCGGACATCTGCAGGTGACGAAACTTTTCCTGTTGTTGATCAATATTTTAAAGACTATTTGATTGTTTTTGTGCGGAGCTGGCCCTAGCCAATTTGTCACAAGATTTCCAGTGATGCCCCACCTTGTGCTATTCTCTAATTCTCACTGCCAGTTTACATACTTTCACACACCAAATTAAACAGTTTTGTATTTGAATATTATTTTTTTTATCTTTTAGGAACCAAGTTGTCCAATTTAAATAATTATAAATAATTTGAAACARAATACCAGAAGTGGACTGGACAGTTCTAGGGGATTCAGGAGTATACTACCCTGGAAAATTAGTAAAAGAGCTACTCAAAACCRTCAAAAACCTGAGTAACTAGTGATTATTATACAGACAAAATCAACTATACTCTGATAAAAAGTTATAAAATATTGTTTTCCGTTCCCCATTTGTGGCGCCCCCCTAGATGGACAGCTCTCTTAGCGTTTGCCTATACTGCCTATGCCACAGGCCTGCTTATGTCTGATTTTTTTATTTATTTATTTTTGTCTTCAGGTCTGTATCTGCCAGCTATGAGGAGACTTTAGACCTGAAAGGGATTGAAGTATACCGCTACACCCTCCTACAGTCCACCCTGGCCTCCCCTTTTGACAACCCCGACAACAAATGCTTCTGTTCAGACATGAAGTCCACCAAGAACTGCAGCATTGCCGGAGTGTTGGGCATCAGCTCCTGTCAAGAAGGTCTGTCATCGATCCAAACTGCAAAAACAAGCCTCACTATTCTGCTCCTCTGGTCACACACACAACACCTGACATTTTGATTTGTTATTTTGTGCCTTTGAACAGGAAGACCCATCTTCATCTCTCTGCCCCACTTTCTGCACGGCAGTCAGATACTGAGGGAGGAAGTGTTGGGTCTCTACCCCGATGAGGAGCACCATAAAACATTTCTGGATATAGAACCTGTATGAGCCGTTATGGACATTTTTTTTTAGAGCTGTAGCAAATTTTTAAAATGCTAATTTCTCTACTTTTTATTCCACCAGACCACCGGGTTTACTCTTAACTTTGCCAAGAGAATCCAAGTGAACATGATGTACGGACCATCGAAGGTGATCACGTAAGTACTGGTGCCATTGTTTTTAATTTTTTGATTTTTGAGTTTTGCCACAAAACCCAGACACTTTGTTCGAACTCCCATTACCGTGCAACAAATAGATGTCTCATATTAGCTTCTGAGAATGCTAGGACTGTAGTTTTACAAGCCGCGCACACAAAACTAGACTTTTATTTTTAAAACGTGGCTACACACTTGGTCACGAGTGATCAAAAATAATACTCACCAGTTGTTGCAGCCCACTGAGACCCCCGAGCCAAACAATGAATATGACTCTAACAAGAGGCAAATAAATTCACAGAAGACCAGAAAATGCATACAAACAAAAGAACTTAAGGGAATCCATGAAGAACAGGTGATTAACCAGTGACAACAGGTGTGTTGATTACTAATGGAGTACAGGTGGTAAGGAAGGAGCTTGAAACAAATAGAATTACATCATGAGAAAATCTGAGCAGTGCAGTCATTCTGAGCATACAAATGGCTTCGCCAAAATGTTGCTGGCAAAGCAGGGGTCTCTTCTTCTTCAAGTTTTACGGCRGTTGGCGACCAACTTAAAGGAGCGTTACTGCCACCTACTGGCCCGGATTATGAGTCAAACTGTAAGCTTACATTTGTAGGTATGTGTATATAAAAATAAATAAAAATAAAAATAAACCCACTATACCAAAAACTGGGTCAGCCAAGGATTTTTTGATGGTGGCCGCGGCCGCACCTGGCTCCGCCCCTGAGTACAGAGGCGTCGAATCCTGGTCCTGGAGGGCCACCATCCTGCATGTTTTAGAGGGTTCTTTGCTCCAACACACCTGATTTGAATGAATGGATGATTGATGGGCATACGCAGACCCTGAAGAGGTGAAACAGGGAAACAAGGACAACATGGAGGATAGCCACCCTCGAGGACCAGGATCGGACACTTTTTTTAATCTTTATTTCACAATAAAAAAATTTATAAAATAAGAAGAGAAAAATAGAATAAAACAAAAAAGAATAGTGTCATAATTATAATACAAAAAAAAMAAAAAAAAAAAAACAAATGTGAAGTAAAATTGCCAAAACAACCCTCAAGGGGCTTGACAAGCTGCAATCTCCAAAAAAAAAAAAAAAAAAAAAAAAAAAAATATTACATAAATTAAAAAAATTGTACATTACAAAAAATAAAACACTATGTATAAAAAGCAAAAGAAAAAAAAAGAAAGAAAAAAAATTGCTTTCAATAATCAAACCCATAAGGGAAACCAGAACTCAAAAGTAACAATCTGATTCTTCGCTTAAAAACTGAGTCATTGATGAAGTTGGGTGAATAGAATGATGCCTCTCATTTCCACCCCTCTAAATAAAAAACAAAACAACAATAAATCATRTTGAATTGGATTTTTTTAACAGTAAAGCATGAAATACTGCAACAAAGCAAAAAACACAAGCTCGAAAAATGTATATTAGCTCTAAAACATGTACAGTGGATTTTCATATAACAGGCATCAAACCAGACAAACAGAAGTCTGAGATGATATTCAWCACTAATGAGCTCTTTCCCTGCAGGGTGCTGAAGAAAGTCAAAGACTACACCTTACTTCCTCTTATTTGGCTTAATGAGGTAAGACAAAAAAGAAGAAAGCCATCACGAGTTGTCTAAATAAGAAACAGACGTCACAAAATGTTCCTCGCTCCTGTCTCCGCACAGACGGCCACGTTGGATGATGAAACRGCCGACATGTTTAAGAAAGAGCTCATGTCTCGGCTCCAGATGCTGGAGATGGTGCAGCAGGCGCTGCTGGGCGTGGGCCTCATCGTCTTCRCCCTGTGTCTCATCGCCTACATCGTGGTGAAGTGTAGAAGCAGCAAGGGCCCAAGCAAGACCGCCGCTTGATTGTAGTCCTGCGTTTGGCTGTTTGTGTCGATGAAGAGCACAGTGCCATCAAGCTGCTAAGCGACATCGAACCTTTTGATAGAGACTTGCACTTTTTTTTTCTAATTTCATTATTTATAACCTCTTTATGCGGAGGATACTGTGATTTACTTTTTAAAGCACAAGAGCAGAAAGTTGTTTTTTTTTTGGGCGGGGGGGGGCAAGTTTTAATTTAAATTCAAACACACTGTAACACAAACTCAATCAGGGATTTCATGAGGGAGAATAACTCCTCTCAACTGTCAGGTAATCCTTTAAATCTCCAAGAGGAGAGGAGAGGCTCTGTTTGACAACCTGTGACAGAAACACACACACAAAAGAATATTATATTGCGCAAATGTTCCCATCGTTTGCTGAACTGGTGTCTTAAAAATAAATAAAACCAGAAAAAAACGGAGTTTTTCGCTTTTCGTGTCACGTTCCTTCAGTCAGATTGTTCTCTCTTTGTGTCGAAATGAATTTAAAAAAAATCCTTTCAGCTTAAAAGTACAGCTTGGATTGTCAACGCTGATGCAAATTTCTGCAACAAGTGGGCTTTTTGCTTCACTTTGAGGGGTTTGGAATTCAAATAAAGACGGAGGGTGAGATTATAATTGGTACGTTTTTGTTGTTAAGGAGGAAAGAAGAGATCTTTTTGGTTTTACCCTTCTTTAAAAAACCTCATTAGACTCAAATATAKTTAATTCAACTGTTTGGACTGAATTATTTAACTCATTTATTAGGATTTGAACAGTAGGCCTACTTGTTTTTCTGAACAAGGGTTTTTTTGCAGTGTCACATTATCCCAAACATTATGTTAAAATTTCTCTAAGTCTAAAAGTCCCAAATGTGCATTGCCTCCTCATGAAAAGGTCACTGAAAGAACTTAAACGTGGCGACAAGTCTTTTTTACAAACTCCTCTAACTGCCCCAGATTTAGATGGCATATTTCAGCTCCTTCCACAGAAGCCACTTCAGAATACCCCATTTTTTTGTTGCTAGCCATTAGCGTTTTAGCCATGGTTTTTGAGTCATCATCACTACATTAGAAGGCCCGTGACCTCCAGCTGAGCCTAAGCTTTCTGACACTAGCTAGCACATGTTGCTCCAGAATGTCTTATACCTCTTAATGTCATTGTACCCTGCACAGGTTTAAGACACCCATGTTTTCTAGTAACAGTTGTTTTCTTTGTTGGGATAGTTTTTGGCTCTGGAATATAAAGCTGACATGATTTGTTGCCGTGAAGCCGTTTTTTTGTCTCATCTGCCCTAATTATGTTCTCCCTGAAGTTTTAAAGGGATCCCCGATTAGTTT